TTCAGCCTTTTGAACTAATTGCTCATCTCTTGAAGGTTTTGTTCTGTCTTTTAAAGCTTCTTTTCTATGTTTTTGACAGTTTGGGTTAGTTCCATATTTTGGTCCTCAAGCTCTGAGATTCTTTCCTCTGCTTGGCTAATTTTGCTTTCCATGCTTATCAGTTTGTTATTTATTTCATTCACTCTGTTCTTTATTGCTGTTATCTCAGTTATCAACTCCTTCATTCTTTTCTCTTGTCTCTGCTCAATTCTATTTATTTTCTCTATTAACATTTTGTTATCTGGGTTTGTGGTTTGAAACCAGTCATTCTGGGGGCTCTTCATTAATTGCATTCTGAAGACTGTATTCTCAGTATCTGTCCTCCCAGGGTCTGTGTGAGACGCATATTCTTCTTTTGGTTTTTCTTCATTTGTGTAGTTTTTCTTTCCTTCTTTTTTCCCCATTCTTTAATTCTGTTGTTCAGGGATGGTTGGGGGATAGCTTTTACTTCTGTTTGCTCAGTCTCCTATTCTTCCTTATGTGGATCCTCTGGCTTTGTTGAATTCTGAAACTGGACTGTGGTGGGAGGCTATACTTTTTGCAGTTTTGATATTTAATTGAAGGGGGAGCTGTGATTCAGAATCTGTCTGAAGATCCCAGTATCCACTGACAGGTGTGTGAGCCCCCTGGAACCTACTCCCCACTGCCTTACAATCTGTCCATGCAATGGGAGCATAGGTTTGCTCCCTGAAAACACAATGAGGTAAGAAAAAGGAAAAGAATGGAATAAGGAAGGAGGAGGGTAAGCGGAAGGTGGAAAGAGAGGAGTAAGAGGGAAAACAGACAGATGTACCCACTAACAAATGAAAACAGACACAAAGACAGAAAAGAGTAAAAAACCTAAAACATACAGACAGTTATACAAACATACAAATCAACAACAACAACAAAAAGCCCTATTGATGTACTCTCCTTCAACAATACTCATACACAGATAGGAAGTCTTAAAAAACAGCAATAAATAATAGTAACAAAGCAAGTACAAAAATGTTATCGAAAACTGAGAGAGAAAAAAACTAAAACAAAAAACAAACAAACAAAAATGAGCAAAACAGACCAAAAAGAAAAAAACTCACTCTGAGGCGGTTCCTATAAGTCCAACTTCCTTTTAGCTCTGATCTCCAGCCCCTCCCCTCTGCTCTCAACATAGGCTGATAGGGTTGCTCTCAGCCTGGGTCAGATGCCCCAGGTCTACTGTGGGAGGAGGGAGGATCAGACCTGGACTCACGGAGCTTGCTACCAGGCAAGGCAAATCTCCCACTCAGATGTGAGGAGTCTGTGTCTGATCCAGCATGGGGGAAGGGCTTCTGTCTCTCTGAGTTTGATGAGATTACCGTAGGTTCCAAGTTGGAGGCTGGGTGGGGCAATGCAGGTCTCTGCCTGGACCAGGAACAGAGAAAATGACTGTGGTCTGTGTTTCCTCACTGGGGGTGGGGCTCCTCTCCAGTTCTCCCCTTTTTCTCTCTCCATGAATGGGATTTGGGCTCCAGTTGCTTTGCTGTCACAGGTGATAGTGTGGGCCAGGTGCAAGGTGATGAGAATCAGCTATATTAGGTAGGTTTTTCTCAGGAGAGTCCTGAGAACAGCATACAATCCTGCACACCAGCAGCTCCAATCTCAGGGCAGGGAGAAATTGCAGTCACCTCCAGAAGAGAGCCCCAGGTACATGAACCCAAGTCGCCCCTCAGATGGACTTTCACTATCCTACCAGCACACGCCTACTCATGCAGAGTCTTTATGGACACTGGCTTTTGCAGAGACTCTCACAGTCCGACCTGTCCTGTTGCCATCTCGCCAGAAGTCCATTTTAACCTTTTTAAAGTATGCAGTTCTACATACATTCACATTGTTCTGCAACCATCACCACCATCTATCTCCAGAACTTCCAAGGATTTGAACTCTATCCTGGAAGCTTTTAAAGGATCATTGAAGGTTTTGGAGCAGGAAAATGGCCTAAAGGAGTATGTGGCTAAAATGAACCTAAGAAGAGAATCTAGGATGATACAGAGGAAGAAGAGAAGGCAGAAAACAGGAGAGTCTTGAAATAATCCAAGTAGGAGGTGAGAAAGACATTCACAATGACAGGCAAAGAGGGCAGAAAAAGAGACTGAGGAAACTCGTTAGACAAGGACAAGAAGGAATCAAATTGGTGAGGTAACATTTGGAAACAGATCACAACTAATTTAAAAATTCTGTTAGGTATAGAAACAGCAGAACTGTGGGTCAGAAAGAGTTTCTCTTGCAAGACAATGTGCTGTAATCAGATCCCATTGACAGAACCAATTAAATTTTCAGGAATGTTATGAGTCAGTTGTGAAACAGCCACGATTAAAAGTGAAAATGAAATTGTAATTAAATAAATTATATTAAAGACAAAGATTATAGAATCAGCATTCAGCATTTCCTACTTACTTTGCTACATTTCTCTATTATCTCAACCTTTGAGGTTATTTAAATCTATTTTATCTGTATGGTAAGATACCATATAATGGTGTGCTGTTATACATATCTTCTCAACTCAACATTCATTGACATTCTATTAGTAACCTGAAACTAACCATGGTGGGAGTATTTACACCAGGAAATTGGCAAGGGCCTCAAATTGGAGCTTGATTTGTTGTTATGTAAAACAATGTTAATGATGCAGATTACAATTCAAAGTGTGTTGCATCTGTAACCCTTGTACTAGAACTATATATTAAATCAAGATTGAATGAATACAAATACTAGAGTTCAGTAAAAAAACAAGAAAAGCATTCTTAGACAATCAATTGTGACTATAGAATATTGTGTATTTTATTATAATTTGTAAATGATATGCTGTATTTTTATATCAATAAAATTTGTAATAAACTTACATTTTTATAAATTCATAAATTTTTTTGGCCAGACAGTTGTTAAGCTTTACCAGTACACCACTGACCATACTCTTCTCTGATAAAGAGATTTATTATATAACATGTTTATGATTTTATTCACTTTAACCTGTCTTTCCAAAGGCAAATGACTTGTTTCCAGTCAAAATGAAAAACTAGACACATCCTCTACTTAATAAAAACTGTAATGTTTTTTCTCCAGGCAAACCACAGAAATTCTAGCATCACATTTTTTTCATTATTATCACTAGCAATAGTTAGAATTTTTCGAGCATCACTATGTATCAAGCGCAATGCAATGTGCTTTATTCACATTCCAATCCTCACTCACCTCTGTGAAGTAGTGAGAATGTAAATTGACAAGACTAGTTTTCAAAATGAAGGTCACAAGCCAGCAGAGACCAACTGAGGCCAACATGGCATCGGAAGTGACCTCTATTTGTCCTTCTTGCCCATTATGTGATAATTATAATATATTAGCATGCCAGAACACATTCCCACCAGCACCATGACGGTTTATAATTACCACAGCAACTCCTGGAAATTACCTTCGATGATTTAAAAGGGGGAGGAGCCCTCAATTCCAGGAACTCCCCACTCCTTTTTTGGAAAACCCATGAATAACTCACCCCTTACTTAGGATATAATCAAGAGATGGCGATAACAATAAAACCCTAGTGATGTATGGAGCTGCAGTTCTTCCTATAGACCAGCCCAGGCTGCTCTGCCTACAGAGTAGCCTTTTCTCTGTTATTTCAACAAATTTATTTGTATTTTTCAAAGCCCACTCATGCCCGTGGGCTGCTCTGCCTGCGGATCTATTTCTTTCATACACTTACTTTTCATCTCCTACTTATGACTTCCACTTGAACTCCTTCCTGCACGAAACCAAGAACCCACTTGGCCCCTCAGGCTGAACCTCAATTCTAGGGTTTTCCAGCACTGTCTTTCTTGGTGACTGTGGTGGGATTCTAAATTTGGAGTCCCCCAGCTTGTATCAGTAGGGCCCGGTGTTATGTCAATTTTATAGATGGAAAGACTGAGGTTGTATAATTAGTAAGGAGCGAGGTGGGGATTTGACTGCAGACCTTTCTGATTCTTTCTGACCTCTTCATTGTGATACCTTCTCTACTATATTGCCTTTAGATACTTATATGGGGATAAGACCTTCACTTCAAAAGTCATCAAATATTCCAGGCAATATTTATTGATCACCTAACTATGTTTACTGTGCTTTACTAGGTACCAGGAAATTCACCTGAGAAGTATACCAAGTGACCTCTGACTCCCAGGAAGTCATCCTGTGTATAAGGATGTTTAGGTGATCAAGTGCCCCTGTGTCATCACCAGCAAGTCCAGTTCTACAGCCAGATGACTGAGTTCCCAAACCAGCTGCACTTTTGTCACAGCAGATTCTCATTGACTTCACTTACTCCCAGGTCAAGACCCTCATTTCTCAGATCTCTTCCACTCATCTCCTAAATCTCCCTGAAGAATTCACTTGCTTCTCCTCCCACTCAGTGCTTTTTAAGGCAGTTAAATGATGATACAAAAATCAGGCAGTAGATACCTTCAGTCAGGAAGGTCTTACTGGTTGCACAATTACATTTAGTTACAGAGCCTTTGAGAAGAGTCTCCTATCAAAATTTTGTACTGTTGTGCATGCTGTCCGCCGATTCACTTGAGATAGGTCCAAAATGAGAAATTTCAAGGGCTGTTGAGCACTATCGCTTCCCAAACGAATCAGTGCAAAGACATTTGACGTTGGACTCTTGGAGTCCTGGATAAATTGAAAGAAATTTTTCAGCACTAGATGGTCTTAAAATTTTCCCTTTCCCCAAAATTCCAAGGTAAGCCCCAAGTCATAAACACTGTATGCATAACTGGCGAAGTTGGGAGGTGGTTTGAAGATTTTTTTTTTTGCTTCTGAAAGACCTGCACTGGATGGCTCCTTCCAGAAGGGGGTCTCACAGCCACATGTGTAGTCAGGACCTGGCCCATCCCACCCCAGTTTCAGGAACTCTGGGTGAGACGCTGCCGGGCCATGGTTGCAGGGTCAGCAGGGCAGGTGCCAGGTTCCCATGGTCATTTATTCAGGGGTGAGTAGTTGAGCAGTTTCTCGATCCGGTCCACATGGGCCAGCAGCATCCAGCGGCAGCAATAGCGCTTCAGGCTCAGTATGTCCAGTGCGTCCCCCTCGGTGTACTCAAACAGCACAGCCCCAGGTAGGCCTCCCACTTATTGCCGATGATCTTGCTACAGGTGAAGCAGAGCACAGCGATGATCATGGCAGTTGTGTGTCCGACTTGGTTGGAAGATTCTTGTTCTCTCCTCTATTCTCTTTTGCCCTGTCTTTACTTACCAAGGTAATTTCCTTGCCTCCGCTTTCAAACTAGTCCAATAAATAAGAGAGAAGTTAGAAATAATGTAGATAGGCATCTGTGATTCAAACAGAAGCTCAGATAAAACAAGACAGAAAGGATATCTGCTAAAGATAGAATAGAGATCCTTCCGTTCACCAAAGACTGAAAAATAAGATTCTAGACCATTAAGAAAAACATAAATAAGCCAAATAGAATTAACATGCACATAGATATATATTTGTGTGTGTGTTTAACTACACATGTACATGTATAACATGCTGGCACTAACTCCTTTTGTCTCCAGAGAAAAGAGAGTTACTTTTTCAAGCAGGAGAACTCACTGTCTAAATGTCTGTGTGGATGTGCCTTGAGTTTGGAATCATATAAATATAGGCTGATCGATGTCTTCCAGTGGTCAATAGCCTACATTTCCAAAAATGGAAAGTAAGTTATGTGCAAGTACTAGTAAAATCACCAATAATCATTGTTTTCCTATTCACCAACTGTTTTATTTGTGCCAGGCACAGAGTAAGTGCTCCAAGTACATGATCTCATTTACTCTCTCCATCAATACCTTGAGGAGGGAGTGATTTTATATTTGAGAATGCTGAGGTTGGGAGAATGATGCGTGGTTGACTCATCCTTGCTATAGAGCTGGTACAAGGTGAGGCTCATATTCGAGTCCAGGTCTGTCTCAGTTTGGGACTGAGCACTTAGCCTCTGTGCTAGGGCTGGAGAAAAAGCCGGAAGACCCACAGACATGCATTCAAAGCTTCCCTCTGCCGTTTCCTATCTAAATGCAGTTTGATGGTGATTTACTTTCCCCTCCTGAGTCTCATCTTCCTTCACTACAAATAAAACCAACCTTGCAGCATATTGTAGCAATGGAAAAGAATGTGACTTTGGAGTTTAAAACAAGACCTGGCAGGTAGCTAACATTCAGTAATTAGTCCTTGAGATTTGGATAACTAATTCTGTTGTGAAATGGTGCCAAATCTTCAGCAGGCAAATTTTAGACATGGATAAAAAGAGAATTATTACAAAAGCCCAGTTCATCTGACATTTATTCATTTATTTATCCATTGTATACCCAGTCAACACATATTAAGCATCTACTCTGATGTGAAGCATTTTCTTTGGTGCTTTTATTACTTTTAAAAAGTAATAGTAACAACCACCACCTGAAAACCACATTGTTCAGTAAGTATGGTGTCTAAGACACTCACCAATTCAAATTTTCACACCTCCTGTATTTCAGGCACTGAGTAAGGCTCGAGGATGAACTGAAGGCACTCCCTGCCATGTCAGGGATGAGGTGCTCATGGTCTGGGCCAAGTATTGCAAGGTATGTGACTAGAAAGCTCAAAGTAGAGGGAGGGAGTCTGTGTACACAAGACTTTACCACAGAGATAACTTTTGAGGGTGTTTGAGGGGTGAGAGGCAGCATGGAAGGCCTAAGGAGCAGTGAGAAACCTAGTATGGTTGACGCATCAGCACAAGGCAGTTTGGGGGTGGAGAGTCCATTTACCCTTTGGAATACAGTCTTCCTGTTGGCATGGCAACTGCTGCAAAATAAATTCAAGGTGGTACTTCAAATGATGCCTTGGAGAATGTCCAGGAGTCATTTAAATTGCTTGTTTGTTATGTATAAGAATTTGCCTAACCTCCAACCTGCAATTGCGGCTTGGCAATCTCTTGTTTATTGTGCTGATATGCTTTCTTGCATCATTATCTTCCTAAACCTTTTTTTGTTGTTTTCGTTCTGCCCATCTAGAAAATACACCCAGGCATTGTGTTGATTTTTCTGGGCTCCCTTGAGATCCTCCAGGTCTTCTTTCTCTTTCTCTGATGGAAATGCCACTCGGGTGATGTTTGTAATATCATTTCTTACCCTGGGATCCCTGCACTGAGCCATGGTGGGCATCATGGTGTGTTCTGCCTGCCATGCCCCCTCTCCCTATGGGATTTATGGAGTCTGAACTCCTCATAGAAGTAGAGAAGTGCCACTCACATTGCTCCTTTCTGGTTGAGACAGGTACACAGTCTCCAGGTACACAGATGCCATACACGCCAATGCTGCATCTGCCATCCCTGAGAGAACAATAAAAAGAAATTAAGAAAAACAAATCAATAACTTAGGGTTACTTTTCCCATTTGAGATTCTAAAAGTCAAAAAAGTCAGAAAAATCTTGGCTTCTTAGAGTAGTGGCATATTTGCCAAAGCAAAATAAATGTTGAAATCTCCTCCTGGACCTGCTTCTCGTGTGTGTGTGTGCGTGTGTGCGTGTGTGTGCGTGTGTGTGTGTGTGTGTGTGTGTGTGTGTGTGTGTGTGTGTGTGTGTGTAAGACAGAGACAGGGACAGACAGATGGGGGTCAGGGAGGTTGAGCAGAGAGAATGTGGCTTCAGCTTGTCCTGGGATAGTTGATCTGTCCATCTTTCTAAGAAAACAGAATATAAAATCCTTAGGCATAAAAAGAACCTCTCACATATGGACTCCTTGGGAATTCAATTCACACTATACTTTCTTTCTTACTGTTTCTTTTGAACTTGAGGGGAAAACACTTCCTATGCCATTCACTTCTCTTGCTCTCAGATAATAAAGAGAGAAGTAAGGTGCTTACATATCAAGGTTTGTAAAATTGGCAAATGGTCCCTAAAAGGTTTGCAGTTTGAGTGATGGATCTGTAGCAGGCTTGGTGACAGTGACAGAAAAGGAGTGTAAGCAGGTAATACTCATAGCAGGCACTTCTTTGGCCCTTCCTCTGTTCTAGTCATTGTTCTAAGAGCTATACATGCATTCATTCATTTAATCCTCCTAATGACCTTATGAGGTGATGACAGTATTATTAATGCTCTTATTACATCATCTCACCTTTTTGCAGATGAGGAAACTGATGTCTGAGAGGTAAGTAATATGCTTGAGCCCTCAAAACTAAGAAGCATAAGAGCTGGAATTTGAATCCAGGCCATTCCATTGTATACCATGATTCTCAACTGGGGGCAATTCTGACCCCTGCTTCATGGGACATTTTGCCATGTCTAGAGACATTTTAAATTGTCATGATTTGGAGAGGAGGCTGCTACTGGCATCTAGTGGTAAGAGGTGAGGGATGCTGCTAACTACCCTGCCCCCCACAACCAAGAATTATCAACTCAAAATGTCAGATTGCTGAGGCTGAGAAGCGCTGCTCTGGAGACAGCATTTCTAACAGTTCTGGTGCTGGTCAGGCAGCATGTTTATGGAGTGAGTCAGAGATAGGTGGTGAGCCAGAGATACTGCCAACAACTACAGTAATTGAAATGAGGAGGGGCCAGGCTTTACTGTTGTGTGTTAGTGAGCAGACTCACTCCAGAAACAACAGGGCTGAGGGCATTTCATCGTTGTTTCTCCCTTAGGATGAGGGAGAGGATGAGAGGCTGGTAACAGTTATAAAACTTGAAAGTAAATATTTAAGCTGTGAATAGTCTGATCCTTGACTGGCCTGTCAAGCCACCTCACTTGTGTTTTCTAGTGAATGAGCAAGATTCTCACGCATGGCCTTTGAGTTGTCTTCTGGCTGAAATTGGCAGGGAACATCTGGCTTTTTGCCTGAGCCATCACAGGCAACCTGGGTTTGGAATCTCAACCACTCGCGACAAAGTTGTTCTCATTCCTCTTGTTCTCATCTGCCCCCTGGAATCCTCCATGATGAGAAATTTTCTAAATGAAGTCATTAGAAAATGTAGTCCATGATTTTTCAGGAGCCATCTATAGGAGAATGGTAACCTTTGAAATACTTTGCTGGCCTTTTTTTTTCTTTCTTGGGGGTAGTAATCATAGTAAATGCAGTTTGGTTTTAACACTCCAGGAGTCAGGCTCCCTCTCTGGGTTCCCCCAAAGACTTGCTCCTCCTGGCCCGAAGGGATTAGCTTTAACATTACCTCCAAGACTGTTGCATTCCATTTAAATTTCCACTGTTCTTTAGGTGAAGTGTGGTCCTTGGACTAGCAGTTGACATCACTTGGGAACTTGGTAAAAGTGCATTATCTCAAGTCCTACCCCAAATCTACTGAATCAGAATCTATATTTTAATAAGGTTCTCAAGTTACTCAGATATACTGATCTATGATGTTTTGACTTCTATTCTGAAAAGTGTTCTTGAAGAACTGTGGGTCCAAATGGATGAAAGATTTCCTCTCTCAGAATCAGATTCCAAATTTTTAGAACGTGGAAATTCTTTCAGATGGGTTCCAGGGCTGCAATGCAGTTCAAAAATGCTATGATATCCCAGATTTATCCAAATAATCTTACCAATACATCCAAGCAGAGATGTTTGAGTTACTCCACCAGTGATATTCCCTATACTCCCAGTTGACCACCAGGTTCTTTGTATGACCCCCTCCCACTGAAAAGAAGTACATCCTATTAGCAGTCTCTTTTTTGGTCATGACAGGTTGTCACTATTTTATCTGACTTCTTCCATCACGCAGCAGTTTCTCAGTCCAATTGCCAGGTCTCTCAGGGATGTGAGTTAATCTACTTCTCAGTTTTCAACCACCCTCTTTGGGACTGACATCACCTCAATGTACTTTTAAAAGTGATTCCAATTTTTTAGATTGGGGCCTGGTTTCGAAAACCTCGTTCCTGTGTTCAGAAACTCTTGCATCCGTTCATCTGAATGTATGCACACATTTTAAGACCACCATAATGTGAAGTTTGTTCCCCTTCTTTTCCTTGGCTAGAAGTCCGAAGATTGTGCCTATACCCACCAAACAGGTGACCACACAGATCTTAACCAAGATGGCTGCTGCTCTGATGAAATGATAGGCTCATTAAAGAAGTATCAGATTGCAGCAGAGACAGGGGTCACAAAAATAAATGTCCACAGGGGCCACAGAAAAGGGAGCAGGGCCTGTTACAGGGCCTGGCACACTGTGGTAACC